TTACAGTGAAGAAAGCTATGCCAGAATCCGGTTGGCTCAGTGGATACAGCATCAGCCTGCGGACTGAAGGGTCCCGGGTTCAATTCCAGTCAAGGGCCATGTACCTGGGTTGCGGGCACATCCCCAGTGGGAGATGTGCAGGAGGCAGCTGATCGATGTTTCTCTCTCATGGATGTTTCTAACTCTCTGTCTCTCTCCCTTCCTCTCTGTAAAAAATCAATAAAATATATATTAAAAAAAGAAAGAAAGAAAGCTGGCAGACCGCCCCCCCCCCTTGACCCAGTGATCGAGGTCAGCATCACCAGGGATAAACCATGCTGATATCACACTCCTTCTGATAGGATGTGATGGGATGTGTACCTCATCTGCGTGATATTTCCCCCTAAACCTATAACCCCAGTCTAATCAAGAGAAACACACCAGACAAGTCCACCCTGAGGAGCATTCGACAAAACACCTGACCCGTCCTCCACCAACTGTCAAGGTCATGAAAAACAAGGGAAGACTAGGAAACTGTCACAGGCCAGAGGAGAGTAAGGAGATGTGATGATGAAATTCACATTGGAGCCCTAGCTGGTTTGGCTCAGTGGATAGAGCGTTGGCCTGCGGACTGAAGGGTTCCAGGTTCAATTCCAGTCAAGGGCATGTACCTGGGCTGTGGGCTTGATCCCCAGTAGGGGGCATGTAGGAGGCAGCCGGTCAATGATTCTCTCTCATCATAGATGTTTCTATAATATTTTTTTAAAAAGAATTTAAAAAATTGTAAAAAAATAAATAAATAAATAATAAACTGTAAAAAAAAAACAACACACATTAGATCACAGATTAGATCCTGGGAGAGAAGAGGAAACTGGTAAACTCCCACTGACGTCTGGAGTGTAGTGGCCGGTGATGTGCCTGTGTTGTGCCTTCCATGGGCAGCATGGCTGTGGAAGATGTTAACAAGAGGAGGAACCGCGTGAGGGGTCTATGAGAACTCTTTATTGTCTTGTAACTTTTCTGAAAATTGAGAATTGGACCAAAATAAAAAGTTTATTAAAAAAGAAAGTAGCCCTTGGAGTCTCCTGTCTACCAAATCCTCCAAGCAACCTAGTCATTGGCCACGTCAGAAAGGTAAGCATGCAAAACCCTGAACAAATAACTCCTCAGGTGACACCTGGGACCTGAGAGTGTTCCTCACTCAAAGCAAGCCACTGGAATCGTGCTTCCCCATACATTTTTTTAAAGCCTCACCCGGGGACATGCTTACTGATT